ATTTTCGCACTTACCATAAAAATCATGATTGATTATCTCTTAGACCGCTGATAGATCTCCAAAAGCTACACTTAAAAATTGTATTAAAATAATAAAGCTTTTCAGCTATTACTGTATTATTAGCCCTGAGATAGATCACAAATTTCTCCACCCTTTAAAACGATTTTATATTTTACCTCTTTTTACTGACTCATTTTTAATTATTTTAACCTGCATCCCATTTTTTTTGTCATCTCATCCTGCCACTTTGGATGGTGGGAGGAAATATTCCAAAAACTTTTCATTGGCTGTCAAACAACCTGGTTTTCAACTGTTAAAAACTGAAACATGCTATTGACCATCAAAGGTGTGACCAGTTCAATCTCTGATGGGATTTACAAAGCAAGAAAGTGGGGCCTGCAAAAACAGCCATATAAAATCATTAGATCTTGCTTAGTGAACCTAATTTTAGTATTCCAATGTTGTCCTTTCGCTGATACTTTGTTGTGAATCACACTAAGCATTCCTGTTATAACACAAATTTGGTTATAATGCGGTTACAGGTGAACCCCATTCACTGTGCAGTGAATTAGGTTTAACTCTAAAATGTCTGAATTCCACGCCATTAGACCACTACCAACATCATTTATGGTTTCTTGTGCATGCTTAAAACATGTTTGGTGGCAACCTGATTACTCTCAAGTTGGACATTTTAGCTTTTGCCACAGAAAGAGCAGATTTATGGGTCATCACGTTGCTGCTGATGGTATTTCCTGCAATGCACATAAGCTGCAAACAGTTGCTGCAACTTTACGACTTGGGAAAACAGCCATTTTGTTTATTATGGAAATTGTGCATGCACCCACAATAAAGACTGGCTGTCACACCTCGCTATTTTTATTTGTTACTGTGTTATACTAACACTCCACTGTATATGGTAATAATAAAAATAATCACTTGCATTTGATATAGCACGTTATCAGGTCTTCAAGAACGTCTCAAAGTATTTCACAGTATATACCGTGAATTGACTGTATATTTTGTGGGCAAACTTCTATATTTTTTAATTTCAAATGAAGTGATGAATCAGAATTTTGTATCAATATCAATCAGACAGATAACTTTTTGTTTTTTGAGATTTGATGTGCTAAATTAGATGTTTTTGCTTTGAATTTCGGCAACTTATGAAGGAATAGCTTGCCATTGAATATCCTGTCTGAACATCCTTCTTATGCAAAGAAGCTAAGCAATATATGCAGCTAGACAGTTTTTTAAAAAGCAGTGATATTAGATTCCAATAAATGGGAAAATGAATAGCTTTTTTAAAAAAAATTATAAATATTTTTTAACAAGTCTATAATTTTGATTTTATCAATGAAATGAGACTAATTTCTATGGGTTCAATTCAGGATGCACATTTCAACCATGTTAAAATGTTAGCTGAAGCCAATTTTAACCAGTCAAATATAAATCAGCCAAAACAGAGGAGTCGATCAGCAGTGTATACTTTTGCACATCACACATCAATCATCCATTTTGTTATTATCAGTTGCTCTTTTCAGGTTGGTGCTTGAAATTGCTTGAATAATCTTTGCTATTTACTTTTCCAACTGCCCACTGAAGAAATAGCTGCATACAAATCTAGTGGATCTTGGCCATTCCTTGCTATTATGTGATTTTTTAATATGTAACCTCAACTTTTTTTCAATTTCTAAATTATTTAAAAAATAATAGCAATATCCATTGAAATTTTTAATTATTTTGATTTTTAGTGTTGTCTTCATTCTTTGAATCAGTGCACTCTGCATTTTACCGCAAGTTTCACCCACCCAGCAGTTTCTCTTTCAGAAAATTTAAATGCCAAGCTAATAACATACTATATTGATAATCTACTGTTGTCCATAAATATATTTGCAGCTAGATTTGAGTGTTGAATAGAATGAGTGAATTTTCGATGAAAGAGTACATCAGCTCCCTTGAAAAATGTGGCTTAAACTGCAAACACTTCTACTTTGCTGCCTGTTTGATAAACCCCTCTCCCCCAGGATTCCAGAATTGAATTAAAGTATAAATGTGACCAAATATAACCATGTCTCACATCTTTTCCCAGGGGAAACTTTTCTGAAAGGTGGCTGTGTGTTGGACTCTTGGGCTGTTGACTTTGAATTATTGTAATGTGTGATTAAAAATTGCCACTCAATCATATGAAATGTTTTCAATGAATTCATGTTAATATAACACATGCGAGTTAATCTTACCAGGAACTCCTCTATTTAATTTCTTTATTTCATCAAATAGTTCAATCAACAATAAAAATACCATCTTAAATCTTTGTCATTTAGGGTATATTTTCATCACCATTATTGGGTGAATTAATATGGCAGGAAGAATAAAGAAGCTGTCGATAGTCTAGATGGTTGGAACCTAAGAAAAGTAGAACAGCAAAGCGATCTGGGGATTGAGGTCCACAAATTTCTAAAAGTTGCTACATAGGTCCTGTAGCTCAGTGGTTAGAGCACTTGCCTCGCAAGCGAGAGACCTGGGTTTGATTCCCAGCAGGGCGAAATGTTGGGCAAGTTTTCTTACTCCACACGCCTCTGTTTACCTAGCAGTAAGTAGGAACCCGGTTGTTAGTCAATTGGCAGATCACTTTTGCAGGTGTAATAATTCCTTCAAAAAAATAATTTTAATAAATCGGTCACTTCGATCCACGACTGTTTGTGGGACACTGTTGTGCGCAATGGGCTGCCACATTTTGTCCACAAAATATACAGTCATGTGGATGCATTCAAGAGGAAGCCAGATCTTCACGTGAGGGAGTATGGGATAGAGTAAGAAATGGGTGAAGATTTGTGTAGTATGAACACCAACAAGGGTGCTTCTGCTGTGTGGCCTGTTTCCTAACTGTACATTCTTTGTAGACATCTTTTTATGATATTTATCTGATTGAAATTGCCTGTATTTCTTTTTTTAAACACTTTGGATATGAGTGAGCTGGCATTTTGTCCATCACTTTTTGTCTTAAGAATGTGATAATGGGCGTTGTTTGGGGATATATATATTCGTACCATCTCTGCAAACGTGTACCATTATTTTGAATTTGGTTAAGGCAGAGGTTATAATTATCTTAAGATTCCATAGCTTTATTAAATGTCTTGCAATCTCAGTTCAATAAAGGATTTCAATTTCTTAGCTCTGGTTTCTGAATCTAGAAAGATCCAACCATTAGGAAAAATGAAGTTGGGTATCATTAACTTTACTTTTAGATATGTGCAATGTTTTACACAATCTTCTCCTTCACAACTTCTCCATTGCTGAGACTTCAAAGTTTCTAAAATATCTTTCTGAATTATTTAGCAGACAGTTAATAAAATAATAAAGCAGATGTCTACTTCCAGCAAGTTTTGTTAAAAATTTCATTCAAATACCACAATAAAACATTCCATGCTTTTTGATTTACAAAGTAAAAGGAAGTTGGCATGCTTTAATTCAAACACTTTAAAGAAGTTTAGAACTGACACCTTCCTACAGAAGTGTCATTTTCTGCCTTAAACATACTAAAAGGCAAGTTTCATATTATCACTCTAAAATCAGAGTGTTGTCTTGTTTTCTGCTTAACGTGCAACTTTTAAAATCATAAAATATTGTTGTGAAAGTAATAGTGTGTGAAAAAAATCACATTTCTAACACTATTTGAAGCATTGTTTTGAAAGTCAGATGTTACAGATGTTGTTCCAGCGCCTTGGGACGTCCTCCCGACGTGAAAGGCGCTCAATAAATGGAATCTTGTTGTTGTTGTTGTTTGTCTTGCATAATGCAATACCATTTACAAGTATAACACCTTCCTCGATAACTCTGGTCCTGAGAAATCATTTCAGTTTATCACTCGTATATTTCAATACAAGTGTTATAAACGGTTTACATTGTTGAATGCAACATCGTTGAGTGTATATATCATACAGTAAGCAACTTCATTTTTTTTTAGGCAAGTAAAAGACACAACCAGGTGAGTGTGCACGGTAGCTTTATCTGTACATACATTATGCTGCGTATGGTCACTGTTCTGTAGTGCAGTGATTTGGGCTTTGGTTAATTGTTTTTTTCAGTTAAAATTGATGCTGAAGAGGTACAAATAGGAGTAGCACAGACAACCTATCTTTATAACTAATGTTTAAGGAGTGTAAAAACAAACATTTATCTTAGAGTTTAAGAGTATAAATGAGAGATGAATTACATTTGTACTTGAATAGTTAAAAAGGTACAAGTTGGTATATTTGTGTGGTAATAAGTAACCTAAAAATGTGTCATTTTTCTAGACAGTTCCACATTAAGTGTGTATAAGCACGCGGGATGCATTCAGTACCAAGTAAATTACCTATAGTTTTTGAAATCTATTTTCTTATCTTGGTGCCTCAACTTATAAATAGTTAAAACATGCATATTTACATTTCGTATGGTAATATGTAACCTCAAGAATTCAAGATCCTCATGCTCACCTACAAGACCATTCACGGCCTTGTTCCCTCCTACCTCTCCGACCTACTATCCCCCTACTTATCTGCCCGTACCTTCCGTTCCTCTGGCTCCAGTCTGCTCCACATCCCTCGCCATAACCGCCCTACCATCGGTGGCCGGGCCTTCAGCCTCTCAGCCCCCAGGCTCTGGAACTCTTTCCCCCAGTGCCTTCGCCTTGCCTCCTCCCTTTCCTCCTTCAAGGCCGGTCTCAAAACCTTTCTCTTTGACCGTGCCTTCAGCTCCCCTCTCGACTCTCTACCCCTCCTCGCTCCCTCCCTTCCCTCCCCTCACCCTGACCATTTCCTCCCTGCTCGGGTCCTGACCCAATTGTCCAGCGCCTTGGGACATCCTCCCGACTTGAAAGGCGCTCTATAAATGAAATCTTGTTGTAACCTAAAAATGTGTGTTCAGTTGTGTTAACAGTTTTAAATTATGCGTGTACAAGCACTCAGGATGCACTAAGTAAATTACCTACAGTGTTCAAAATCTATTTTCTTCTTATCTAGGTGGCATGCATGCAGCTTATTAATGCACTTGTGACATCCCCTGATGATTTAGACTTCAGGCTGCACTTAAGAAATGAATTTGTGCGCTGTGGGCTGAGAGAGATACTGCCGGTAAGAGTAACATAAGCTATTATCTGTTTATTATGTAACAGTCTGAGATTACATTGATAAGTCTGTTGACAGTATGCTTATAATTGGCTGTTTCCATGAAGCACATTGATATTATCAATTCATTACATAAAATATAATTACAAAAATAGTTGAGAACTGTTAAACATCTGTCAATTTTTAAAATCATGGAAAAGTAATTAAAATTATATAATATAATCCTTGCATTTTATATAGCATTTGATATAATTAAAATTATGACACTAAGTGACCAGATAACATTTATCGAAGGAAGTTGAATGGCATCAGATGGAAATAGAAATAAATTTGGAGTCGTGTTTTCTAAATTCCAGTCAACAAAGCATACTCCCTTTCCTGTATGTGCACCTTTGTATATATAATATTAGATTCAAATTTGTACATTATCACAACTTTATTGGATACAATTACTTAGTGTGATTCTAGGAAAATAAAGTATTTAATACAAATTATTAATTTAATATATGTATATTAATTACGTTTCTTCAGTTATTGATAACGAGCTGAAAGTTTAAAAACTTATGTGACGTATATCGGTATTGGAGGGGAATTAGGAGCATTGGAGAATTTACAGCATTCGCCTATTGATGAGATTAGTTACTAATTAGTACATCAGTTCATATTTTAAAAAAAAGGATTTTAGATTTTGATCAGTCTCTTGCCACCAATAAACAGTTTTGGTTCTGTCCAACTACTCTTTTGCTGAAATCTGAAACCTGTTGTGTTTTAACGTGAGCAATGAAATCACTTCAGGCTCCAATAAAGAGAAAGGACATCTTATTAATGCTGTAACACAGCTAGGACCAAATTATCTACCTTCAATGAAAATCAGTTTCCCTTTAATGCTAGTTACATGAAAGAAAGGTTCAATATGTGCAATTATGCTTCTTATTCTCCTGTACTGGAACTTTTTAAAATGTTCTGAACAGATGTTCAATATATACTATGTGAAACAGGCTAACTTCCTATGTATTTCTGCTGATTTGTTTTGTTAAAGGAATTGAGAACGATTAAAAACGACGCGCTGGATATTCAGCTGAAAGTATTTGATGAGCACAAAGAAGAAGACATGATTGAATTTTCACATCGTTTGGAAGATATTAGATGTGAATTAGAATATCCTTTTTACTAAACAAAATTGACATGACCATTTAGGAACCTTGCAGATGATAGAAAACGAACAAAAGAGGAGACGACAACAAAATTACATTTGTATAGTGCCTTTCACTTTGGGAGGATGTCCCAACGTTTTTAGAGACTGGTTTAGAGTTCGAAGGGCAATTTCAGGATATGGTCCAAAACAGGTTGAAGTGAAATGAAAGCCATAGGAATAACAGGCACTAATCCCAGCTGTTTGCTCAGACAAAAGCTTAGAATTCAAAATCTGTTTGCAGGTTGCAGCTGATGATAATAATAATCATTGCATTTGATATGGCACCTTATCACGTCTTAAGAGATGTCTCAAAGTGCTTCACAGAATATACTGTAAAGTGAATTGACTGCATACTTTATGGGCAAAAAGCAGCAGCCAGTTGCTCACAGCAATGTCCCACAAATAGTCATGGATTGACTAAATTATTCTTATTTTGAAGGAATTTATTACCCCGTAAAAGTGATCTGCCAATTGTCTACCAACTGGGTTCCAACTTACTGCTAGGTAAACAGAGGCGTGTGGAGCAAGGAAACTTGCCTAATGTTTCGCTCTGCCGGGAATTGAACCCAGGTCTTCTCATTTACGAAGTGAGTGCTCTAACCACGGAGTGACAGGACTCCAACAGGGTGGTACAGGATGGTAACAAGTAGTCAATTTGATCATGTTATTTACGTTTTAGAATCATTGGTGGGTGCATCATTTGGATCATGAAACCAACCAACTCATCTCATGGAGCTATGATAACACCAATGCTTCTCTCAATCATAATCTTTATTTTCAAAATCAGAATACTTTTTTTAATAATTGTAAAATAGTTAATTGTATTTAGTAAAAATAAACGTATTTGGGGCTTGAAGAAATTTTAAATGTTCATTGGTACGTTGCTCAATTGAATATGATATCCTTAACTTTGATTCTACTGAAATAAGTGATGTGTATAATATACTGTCTTACTCTGTGAAGGACACGGGAGCTGAAACTTATTTTCTATCCATTCTTCAACATTTGCTATTGATCAGAAACGACTATTTTGTGAGGTAAGTTTATCATGTTTCATTTCTCTTCTCTTAAAGGCAATGGTTCATGCTGTAGAACAGTTCCACAGCAACCCTCCGATGCTTTGGAAATTTATTCATTATTCATGTGGCATGAGAAAATAGGTGCTAACTTAATCTGGTAGCTAAAAATAGCAATCACTTGAAAATCCCTCTAAATTACATCAACAATTATAGTTTATTTCCGATTAGCATAATTCCAATGCTGATGAATATCTATTTTACAATAAAATGGGACACGGTAATCTTTCCTAGAAAAAACTGGCTTTGAATATGATGCTAATCATAACCATGGTCACGTTCTTTCCAGGAAAGGTTACACAATAGTGATCAGGTACAAAAAACATGTTTGATTTTTGTTTTTCCAAGCCAGAAAAACGTAGGCCTGTAAAATTGGAATCTTTCTCATCTATATTGCTTGGTAGCATATCATCTTTTTGAACCCCCGATTTATGCACACAGCAACTTAGTAAATGTTTAGAGTGAGATTTTGGGTTGAATTTCCAACTTTTATTATCTCATTGCAAATAAGTCATTGTCAATACAGCTTACCAGATATTAACATTGTCTGATATTGTTTCTCATTAAAAATGTGTTCTTATCTGTAGATTTTTAAATCCATCAAGTACTTACTAACAATATGACATTACAAATGTCTTGTTTGGTTACAGATGTATCTATGTTTTTTGTGGCAAACAAGGCATAATGTTATCACTTACTTGAGGAGCACTTTTGAAAACTCTAAGCCTGAATATTGCACCTCATGTTAGCCTATAAGACCTTAATATTTAAGACCTTAATATTTAAGACTTTAATATTTAAGACCTTAATATTTAAGACTTTAATATTAAACATCTTAATATTTAAGATTGAATATAAGAGTTTTGCACAATTTATTGCCTTCTTAATTTAGAAGTATGTTTTCTGAATTTCTGAAAGAGACTGCTTCTGACGTAAGACTGAATTTAAGAATTTTGCCCAATTCTATACAATCTTAAATTTTAAGGCAAATAGTGTTACATGATAGGACTACATGAAATTTTGGACCTCCTTTGTGTTTTGGAAGTTTGGCTTATTTGGGGATATTGAAACCTAGAAAATAAAATGCTTAGCATTTTTCTAAGTAAGCTTGGGATGCTTTTTATCTTATTTTCTGCCCTTCCTCACAATGCAGTGAAATTCAGTTTGTGTTGCTTCCAGTGAACAAACAATTTCCAATATTAAATTGAGTTTCAAAAGTTCTTGGACAATTAACCAAACTGTCATCTAAATTCTTCAGTACTGTGAAACAGCCAGTTCTCTTTAAACAATCTCCACCAAGCGCAAGCTAGGGGAGCACTACTCTTTGTTGCAAAATGCAGCCTTCCTCACTCAGTAAATATATAATTTAGAGGGGAAAATATAAATCTAGCCTCTTCTCCAATTTACTCTTATGTTAGAAAGGATGCCAGCAGTATAAAAGTGACATTAAGCAGTCAAGGCACAAACTGGCCTTATCTTAAATTGTTGTGAGAATACACAGGCATACATATAATTCTTCTGTGTTTGCACTTATTTGGAGACTACGGCTGTTATCTTTTTCCAGTTTGTGTAGAGAAACTGGAACACGGATTTGCCAACATTAGTCTTATCAGCTTTTTTTGGGCCACTAAGATTGTTTTTGCCCCGATGCTGAATCTATAAATTTTACCCTGGAAGATGAAGTCTCGAGTCATAACTATAAGGGTGAAATAACATTGGAATAGAAGATTGTTTGCTTTTCAGTATTACATCAAAATAAATGAAAGCAAAAATGTTTCAAGTTGGCAATCCTTTGGTATATATGCTTTTGATGTAATGATGGATGTTAGAAAATGAAAGCTATTTTGGAAATGTAATGTTTCAACATCAGGTCTGTAGAATTGTGGCACGCCAAACATAACAGAATGAGATAAATATATTTGTCCCACCAAAGTGCTTCTTTCCAATAAATTAACTCTCCTATCATGGTATCTCGGCCATTTTCATCCACAAATACACAGTCACTACACGTTATAGTATATCCTGTGATGTGCTTTGAGATAGCGTGATAAGGCAGTATATCAAGTGCAAGGATTATTATTATATCTCAGTTTTTAAATCTTAATTCCTTGCTTAGAGATGGTTCCACATATTTATATCTCGGAATAAAGGAGATTTTTCTTGTATATCTGTTCAAAAAAATAGTAGAGATTTGGGGGAATTTCTTCACTGAGGATTGTTTGGATTTCATTACATCTTGTACCTGGATCAATAAAATAATTGAAAAGGGAACAGGATAAACAGTGAAAACATCAAGGGATATGGGGAGATTGCTGCAAAGTGGGATTAATAAAAAAGTGATTTCGGAATAAACAGGACACAATAGCTTGCTTCAGTGGGTCCCTTCTGAGCACAAAATGTCTTTCTTTCTAGTTTCTATTAAAAATTCCTCACCTTCCTTTCAGAGAAAGAACAATTGGAAGCAACTAAAACACCTTTGGGAATGATTCCCATACCATGAATTTTATTAGGCTTCGTGAGATAGACCTGGGTATAATTCTGATATGATTAATCTATTAATGAGAATATGAGTATTGCTTCTCGCTTGGGGTCTAATCATATATATCTATAATGTGCAAGGATCCTTTATTTGATCCCGATGGACATATCTGTAGGCAGTATTTTGTTAATTCCAATTACCACTTCACAGGCAGTAGAAGACTAATCTGAAAAAGTTGTACGAGCGTGTAGGTCAATTTTTAGATGAGACTTTAAATCATAGGTCCCAACTCCCTGTTCAGGTGGACATTGAAGATCCCATGACACTAATCAAAAAGTGAAGAGATTTTCTCCAGTGTCCTGAGCAATAATCCTCCAGTTTACATAAAAGTAATTCATTTCATGGACGGTTGTGGGACATTGCTGTGTGCAAATTGGCTACTGCATTCATCTATGAAATATGAAATTATCACTCTTGAGGTGTGAAGCGTTTTGAGACATCCTTCCAATGAGAAAGGTGCTTATATCAATTCTTATTAAAGAGGTTCTGTCTTACCAGAAGGGTCTTATTTATTTATCTATTATCTATCCATTTGATTTAAAAACTATGATTCGTCTTGAAGAGTCTTGATGTGAGGGAGATGGATCTCATCACCTTATCACAGGAAACCTCACTCAGTACACATGTAGGTTTTATGTCTTCCTAACTGAATTTAGATAATTATCTGTTGTTCAGGAATCAAACTTAAATTAATATGGACACCTTTGGCTTGACAGTCAGTCGTGGGTGCTTAGATAAGGAGATAAGATGGACACAAGATCACAAGTAAGATTTGGGTGAAGAAAGCTCTTGTCTTTTCTATAAAATAAGAAATAGAAAGGAGGAGGCTTTTGAGCCAATGAATTTCAAATTGGCGCCAGCTCATCCAGTGCAGCTACTTATTCTATTCTTAATAACCTACTCTTTCATACTTTACTTTTTTGTATTGTTTACCTAATTCCTCCTTTCCTCCTTTGGGGGAGGTAAGCGGGGTCTCCTTGGAACAAACCGGCTCCATAGTGACGTGCCTGGCAATGGAATGTCAGAATTGAGCCTTCTGTTGCGGTCTTGGTAGTCCAGTTCCTGAGCCAGGCTGGTCCGCAGTATTCCAGGGCAATGCTGATGACAACACAGCTAGCCTGGCTCATCGGCAGGATCTGGAAGGGCAGACCAGTCACTGGGGCAGGGAGTCAACCCACTCAGCTCTTGATAACCCTGCAAGCCAAAGCCCTAACGTGTAGGGTGGTCTGAGCTGACAAGCAGGGGGGAAACTTGCCAGACAGCAATATCAATGGCAAGCTATGTGGTTTTAGTTGGTTGGACTCCAGCAGAACCCCAACGCACACTCTGGGGTTCCCAAGCCAGACTCTTGGCAACCTGCGCCTAATATTTCCCAGAATTAGGTAAGCAGGATACGCCACTCCAGGGAGCGAGTATGCATTCTGCAACAGTTCTCACGCCTTGATGTACGTGTGAATTTTATTAATGCTTTCGTACTAAGTACTAAATAGGCTCTGCTTCTCTCCTAACCCTGTCAGTGTGAGACCCTATTTCAAAGGTAACTCAACCAAGTCAGAGTCACACACAGACAGGTATTTCCAGTTAACCCCAAGGCCCGGTAACGGGAATGTTTAATCAGAGTCTGCTCACACTATAATAATAATATATAATAATCCTTGCATTTGATATAGCGCTTTTCACGTCAGGAGGACGTCCCAAAGCGCTTCACAGAACACACTGTAAAGTGAATTGACTGTATATTTGTGGGCGAACGCGGCAGCCAATTGCGCACAGCAATGTCCCACAAACAGTCGTAGATTGAAAATGACCAATTTAATTATTGTTTTTTTTTTTTGGAGGGATTATTATTAGGCGTGTGGAGTAAGGAAACTGCCCAAGGTTTCGCCCTGCCTGGAATTGAACTCAGGTCTCTCACTTGCAAAGCGAGTGCTCTAACCACTGAGCTACAGGACTCCACTAGTCGACCTCTGATGTTGACAACTGCCCTCCGAAGTGCTTACCTTTTCTTGTTTAGAATACTACAGACTCGAGGATACAACAGCTCTTTATTAAAACCTAGTAACACAAAGCTACTTTGCATATAAAGAACACACCAATGGGATCAACTATCGCACATAACTATAACAACTGGCAGCACAATACTACCTTAGTAAAGGAATGTGAAACCAACTCTGACTGATCAGTAGTCCTGTATATGTCAGTACATACCGGATGCCAACTATGAGTTAGCGACCATGAGGAGCGCTGAGCATTGCTTTATACAGGCGTGTGGCTCTGCCCATGGTATGATGCGAATGCGAGGGTTTTTTCCCACACTGGTGCCCACATGTTATTTTACTCTGCAGGCTGCTTGTTAGTGACTATCAACCAAGCAGCCCTGGATCTATTACTTTGTTACAAACTCGGGTATGCTCTTTGCTAACTCTGCTGCAAGCAGCTTCTGCAACTTGGAATCTTACAGAAGCCATTTAAATGGGCAGGACTCCCCATTTCCCTTAAATAATATTATATAGTTATTTATACATTACAAAAGACTACATGAATAGGGTACTGTGAAAATTCTATTTCAACAATCTTTCTCTGGGATTTCCATGTGTAGGTGGGATGCATGGAAATCTCAGCTTGGTTTGGATACTCTTAAGCATGGGATGGGTTTCTGTGTGTGTCAGACTGTGTATTAGGCTGGCTCCCAAAACGTGTATCCAATTCCCTTTTAAATGATATTTGATGCCATCCTTCCAACATTGCAAAGTTATAAACTTCTCCATCTGCATCATTCTTGTAGTGATCATTTTTTGTCTGTTGATTGCCTGCAATCACTCTCCAGTGCTAGAAATGTTGATGCCGGAGTTTGGTATGTGCCCACTGGAAGCAGAAATTTTCTGTATTTCCGGTAAGCACGAGTCCACAGGAGACCTGTGTTCTAAACAAACGTGTGCTCCATCACAACCTTTTATAATGGGGTTGCCTTCTACTATTTCAGTTTAAATTGATTTTTTTTAACTTCTTTTGTGCTTGCAGGCCTCAATATTTCAAGATAATAGAGGAATGTGTTTCTCAGATAGTCTTGCATCGCAGTGCCACAGACCCGGATTTCACATACCGCAAACGATTGGATGTAGATTTTAGTCATCTTATAGGTGAGTACAGCTATTTCAACATGAGCACTGATGAGAAGTTAATTTAGTTATCTACTTAATGAATGCAATACCAAAAACAATTACATTGAAACTGTTAGTATGACTATGGAAACTGGATCACATACTTAACTTTACCTCTTCAGATGTTTCTGTTGATAAAGCAAGAGTAGAAGAGTGTGAGCAAAGACTATCAGAATTAACTAGAAAGGTAAGAATTACGACTTTGATTAATTTTAATGTTGTTATCATGGGAAACGTATGTTTTCTTTGCCTTTATGCACAATATGTCTGACGAAAATATTTCTTATTGTGGATAAAAGATTACAAATTCAATTAAGAAAATGTTGTAATGGTAAACTGCTATTTATAATCCTGGAGAATTTTTAATTTGTTCGCATTTGAATGGGCAAAAATCCTTCCCTTCGAATATAAAGCGGTATATATAAAAATGTTGTGCTGTTTTTTGTTCTTTCTGCTTTCGGGAGTAAGACAAAGGGATGGAACTTTTTCATAATTGTTTTAGTTATGTTTTATTTTTAGCAAGCTTACGGATATATACAACAGTTTATTATCATGTAAATAGTTTTTTTAAAAAATCTTAACTATTCTTAAAAAAATCCTGGTTTCTATTAAATTGTACACAGTTTCAAAAACAAAAGTACACTTGATAGTACTGAGATTTTGTTTGGAATCAACGGTATCTGGCATCCTTGAGATTGATATAGTTTTATCTTTCAGTTGGATGAAGAATTTACAGGCCGGCAAGAGGCACAGGCCCAAATGCAGAAAAAAGAAGAAAAAATCAATGTCCTTGAAGCTGAATTGCATAGTCTCAGGGCCCAGGTAATTAAGCATACTAAATGATTTCTTTGATTTCTAAACAGTTGGTGATTACTATCCCAAGCCATACGGTACTCAAAGTATTTAAATAGAAAGGCTTTTGTATTCTGCTGCAGTTTGGGGTTTCAAATCTTTGCTTGCTCACATCTTATGCCAAGAATGCCTGAGGCTGTTAAGTGTAAGGTTTGTGCAGTATTAATTAGCTGTGTTGGCTCAAGATTGATTTCAGCTTTTGTTTTGGGCTCCTGTTAATTAAACTTGTTGCTTATATTTCAGTTGGTGTTAACTCCTAGTGTCACACATTTCCTGAGTAATTAACCACAAAGGGTAGAGTCTGCTACTCTTCGATTGCAGATTTTTATCAGAATACAGGAAATTATTTCTTGATCCGTTTATTTGGCTGGACCCCCAGTTCTAACATCTCTGCAGAAAAAGATAACTCTCAATTGCAAAAAAATCCTATAATTTTTCAATTTTCAAAAATAGATTGAAAGCATGTCAAGCTGCAGCTCTTAGAAAGGATTTAAATAATACTTAAATAGTCAAGGATATGATTTAATGAACAATATATTTGAAGACGTAGAACCTTTTAATTTTGTTTTCAAACTATCATATTTGTAATGATGGCAGTCACTAATAAAAAAGACTTATCTCCATCTTTCAGTCTTTGCAACAAAGCATGCTCAATGTCGTGAGTGCTGTGCATACTGCCGAATTGTATGCTTTGTTTATCTTTGCATTATAATAACCTTGGCATATTAAATGCAAAGCATTTGACTCAGATAATATTCTGATATTGTTTTCCTCCTTTGAAGAAGAGAATTTAACTCTGACTGCGTGAGCAATGAAGGTCATTTTACACAGATTCTTGCAGAGGGTCACAAGCGCAGCAGGTTTGTGTTAAATCCCCAGAGAAAAGGTTTTACAATAAAAGCTGCTCATAATTGGACAGGGTTTGTTCTGAAAGGCCTGAGCTGAACAAGTGGAGAATAGAAATGTTATCTGGTGCAATGGACAGAACTCTGTTTTTTTTAGATTGAGAAGCTAAAGTTGCACTTGGCTGGTGAACATTTTTGACTCACTCGTGAATGATTTTTGTTGAATCTGTACTCTATTTTTTTAACGTAGTGAAATTCAAAGCAATATTTACTTATTTTGTACGACATAAATACTTCATAAATACCTAAAGGCTAAGTGGATTAATATCCATATGAGCAATTTTTAATTTTTTTTTCAATTTTGATTGATTGATTGGCTCAGTTGATAAAACTCACACAACTGAGTCAGAAAGTTGTGCTTTCATACCAATTGTGGAGCCCCTAATTGACAAACTTATAATCTTCACTGACATTTAAGTAGAATACTGGGGAAAGTGCTGCATTAACAAAGCTACCATCTTTTAGGTTGGATGTTTAACCAAGGTCCCATCTGCCAGCTAAGGATCCAATATCGCTCCTCGCCAAGGGAATTCCGCCTTTATCCTGGTCAAACAATACTGCAGATTATTTGTCCGTTCATTGTATAGCTGTTTGTGGGTATTTACTTGTGCCTTCAAGGCCCTCCACGGCCTTGCTCCTACCTACCTCTGTGACCTGCTAATCGCATATCAACCTGTCTGCTCCACCATCGTCGATCAGAGTTTTGATTCAGCCTCTCTGCCTTTGGAAGCAACCCACAGTCACTTCGCCTTGCTCCCTCCCTTGTCTCCTTCAAGGCATGTCTCAAGACTCTCCTCTTCGACCACACCTTCGGCCACCCTCCTACTCCTACCCTCCCAGCCCTCCACCCCCCACGATCTCAAACCCCTGCTCGGGTCAAAATCCCTGACTGTCAGGTGCCTTGGGAGGTCCTCCCTACGTGAAAGGCACTGTAGAAATGTAATTTGTTGTTGTTATTGCACAAATAGTTGCCTCATTTGCTTTCCAAACAACAGTTATTTGATTTAACAATAATTGCTTGTGAAGCACAAGTTTATCTCTTAATTACGGAATTCCTAATCTGGACAATGTTGATATTTGAAGACAACTAGCAGGGGGTTAATGGAGAAGCCACTGAGTTTAGGAGGTGCAGAAATGTCTCTTCTACCCTATTAGGTTTCTTCCAAGCACAATCTGCAGCCTTTTCTTTTGTGGGGAAGCCTGGATTATCCAGTTAGGAGATCAATTGAAGGCCACTGTGGTGTGCCTCCAGCCTCCCAACATCCTTTTGGAGCAGGTAGCTGCTTCTCGCCACCAAACTAAACCTCTTGACATCTCAATGCCTGTCCCATTATCTGTCTCCAGGCCTCAGCTGACCCCATTTCAAGGTGTCCAATTGTGACTTTTACTGGTTGCCCTTTCGATCCCACAGTCCAAGCAGGTTACACGTTGCAACACGAAGTTGTCGAAAACCTAGCCTTTGATAAGCTTAATTGTTTAATACTTGATTGGAGTAAGAAAGATGTTTATCACTCTAGTGAGAATACAGAGTAATTGTACCCCATGAATTCAAAAATACACCCTGTTGTCCATTTTAATTTACCCCAAAACCAGTTGAAACAAAACAACAACAAAATTATATTTGTATAGATCCTTTCACATTGGGAAGACGTTTCAAGGCTAGAATAGAACCTTTCATGATTGGATATGCAGTGGCATTGGAAGAAGCTTGGAAGGAATTCTCCCAGTGGCATTCTTAGCTGCAAGTTAAAACTTACTAAGGAAATATGAAAAGGGTTAGGATAAATGAGTGGGTAAATACTTGGGAGAAGTTGGGTTGGGAAAAAGAAGAGGAAGACATTCACCACCGCAGAATAATTTAATTTTGTGGTCAGAAAAATACTTCTGATTCTTCATGTTCAAAAATCATTACATCTAGTTTAGTTTATGATAAGAAAATGCTTTTTTTTAAATGGATACGTTGCATATCTTGCAAAAATATATTCAGATATTGGGAACTGGCACCAGTCAATACTGGTGAATAATTTACGTATTTAGCAACCCATCAAAATCAACAGTAATTTATTTAGTTGACTTTCTTCACAGGAATGTAAAGAACGTTAATTAATGTGACTTAGATGGAGGTTTTGCTAATCAGAGAGTATGAATTGCTGAGAGAAAGTAAACTAAACTGTTGATAACACTCATTACTGTTTTACACTGGACAGCTGTTAAAGGTCAGGATTGCAATTTTAAGATTCATCTGAAATCACAGTTTCTATATTGAGATTAACGACATAGTCATCAGTACTAAAGCATATTATTTGTTACTTGTTATTATCTTTGGAACAAGTTTAAACATTCTTCCTTTCATGTAGTATTGAAGAGCATGTCCTGACAAACTGGTATTGGTTAAATAGAACGCAAAGCTGCAAAACATTTGTAAAAATGCTTTCCATCAGTTTAAGAGTTTGCAATTAAATTTTATTCTTCATCTAGAATGTTCCATATTTACTAGCCAACAGTTGAAATAATATGTCATCTTCAATGGAATATGGCCATGAATAATCTATGAAGGCTATTCATAGAAAATCGTGAAAGAGACTTTTAGCAGGTGGCCTTGCCTTCTCTTTTCTTTTCTTACCTTCTCTTTTCTCTACCTACCCATCGCATCTCCAACCTTCATTTTCTTTCCAAGAAAAAGTTCCTAGAAAAAGTTGTTGCTTCCCAGCTCCGCTGTTTCCTCTCCTACCACTTCCTGAATCAACCTCTGCAGTCTGGTTTCCGTACCACCCACAGTACAGAGACAGCACTTGTCAAAGTTATAAATGACTGTCTGCCTATCTCTGTTTCCTCATCCTTCTTGATCACTCTGCTGCCTTCAACATATTGACCACTCTATTCTCCACCGCCTCTCTTAGCTACACCTTCACAGTTCTGTCCTTGCCCGGTTTCACTCTTACCTTTCCCATCATCTCCACTTTGTATCCACGAGCGGCTTTTCCTCCAGCCCTCGCATTGGCTCTGTCCTTGGTCCTCTCCTAATATTTACATGGTCCCACTCAGTGATATCATCCACAGGCAAGGGGTTATCAAGGGATGATTTACCCACAAACAACGGGGTGATTTAAATGGCAAAACATTACACTGAAAAGATTTAAACATTTCAAAAAAGATAATTTTACAAAAGATGATAGAAATGCTCAAAAATTACAGCAGCAGAATGGTGACAACATCCGAGATATTCTCATCTGTTCACTGACAAAAAGGAAAGAGATAATTTCCAAAGAGCATCTGCATTTTGGCTCTAAAGCTCCATTCACTGTACCTTTCATCCTTGTTCTCCACCGAATTTTAAAAAAGTCCAACCTGAAGTGCTTCAAAATGATAGAGCAACATTTATATTTCCTTTGAGATAATTTCCAGACATCATCTGAATTTTAGCACCGAAAACACTGTCCTATATAGCCTTCATCTTTACATTCTCCAGCAGATATTCAAAAAATAAGTACAATCCAGAGCGCTTAAAATGATGGAGCTGAAGTTATGTTTGTTTTCACAACAACGGGATAAAAAATTTTGAAACGTAGATTAATTGTGTTATTTTGTGACGAAGATCTTTTTCTGTTGCCTTTTAATCTCACGTATAAGTTAATTAACTGTAGAAGATATTTAAGTAAATTAATTGAAGCCAATAACCTCTTTACATTTCAGTTAATTTGGTTATTTATTTCTCTGACCAATTGAATTTTGATTGCTTGTTGTTAAATGCACTCTCTGGTTTTGTATGTGTCATACTCACCAGTCAGATCTTGGGAATATCTATGCTGATTTAAATTTCAGTTAGAATGACAGCCTCAACATCTCTAACCTGGAGACAAAAAAAATCCATCAAAGTTTATGTTCCAGTTCTTTATTTGATGACACAAACTTTATTGTTCACTCAGACATCAAATACTACTACATACAAATACTGAAGGACTGCACTGCTTGTAGAACCATATCTTAGCATGCATTAAACAGAAGAGAGGATAACATTTAAGGGAGTTTTTGTTTTGAAGGTCTTTCCCATATTATCGACACTGA